AGCATTTTCTTTTTTCTTTTTTTCTTTTTTTTTTTGGTACCAGGGATCAAATTCCAGTCCTTGAGCTAGCGACGCAGGCAACAGAGCCACTGGGCTAAATCCCCAGCCCAGCTGGGCTATTTTTTAAGGCTGGTTGTGAGTTCAGTCAAGATGTTTTCTAGATCACGGACTCAGAACAGAAAGCTCCCAAGTTAGGCTTTGTCCTTCTCTTCAGTGACAGGCAGAAAAGCTAAGCAGAGGGAGAATGTGCCCACTTACGGGGCTTAGGAGAAGCATGGGTCTCAGATCTGCCCTGGTCACACAACAGGGGGAAGAACATGAGGCCAGAGGCAGGGCCCTGAGGAACATCCTCGGCAGCACCGCAGCCTGAGCTCCCAAAGCCGAGTTCCAGTCATAATCCCAGGATTCACACGGACTTCACAGCTGTGGATTTGCCGGAGTGATACAGACATCGCAAGCATGGCAGACACTGGGCTCAAAAGGGCTCTGTTTTCACCCTGCCACCAAAAGCTCCCCTCATGTGGGAAGACAGTTACACGCTGTCTTTTCCAGTGTCAGGCCCAAGTCACTCTTTAATGCAACAATCATAAGCAGTCAGGTTACATCAGCTTGAACAGACATCTCCATGCTGCTGCAGGGATAAACTGAGGCACCATGGGATTTAGAATGTTTCTCATTCTAAAATAAACACACCATTAGGGGCCTGTTTAACATAACTAAATCACATGGAAAGTTTGCTACTGAACTGACACAGAATGTGTCTATGAGACAAAGTTCAGCATGTGAGTCTGTCTTCTTCCTTTCTCACAATGAATGACTCCAAATACTAAAACTTCAGTCTCTGTACTGCTCGGTGAGTGATTCCATAAGTCATTAGGTTTAGAATTTTTTGTATATTCGATAAAAGCCAGTGTAGACTTAATATCCAAATGTAAATGTTTATCAGTTTTGGGCTAATATTTCCCCAAATTTATTCGAGATGCAGTTTCTTGAGTAGAATAGGAATCTACATATTTCTACTGGAATTGGTGTTTCTGCCCTCATATTTTTGAACTGCAACTGTTTAATAATTATGAAGACTCAGTCCTGATTAAATATATGTCGAGATTCCTCATATTCTGAGAAGCACAATCACGCAAGGGGCATCAGGAAAAAGAAGAGTGTGGTTTCTGCTCAAAGTAGATTTTTAGTTTATTATTCTGAGATCAAATCAGTCATAATTCCTTATGAAATTTTCTTTTCTTTTCTTTTCTTTTTTTTTTGGTACTGGGATGGAACTCAAATCCCTGTATGCTTATGAAATTTTCTCAGCGATTTTAAATTTCTGTGGAATATCTTTTTTAAATTTTTAAAAAAATTTTAACCTAACTGTAGAGTCTCATTTACTTGTAAGGAAATAATATATAAAGGTTCCCTTTCCCTCCTCACTCACTTCCCTGAAGATCTTCTCCCGGCAAACCTGAGAACCATAGCATAACCAGGAAACTGCCGCGGGGCAGGACACAGGGCTTACCCCCGACGTCACCAGCGACACACGCACCTCTGGGCATGCTTGCTTGTGTGCGTGCGTGTGTTTAGTTCCTTGGATTTTTACCACCTGAGTAAGCTCAGGTGACCACATGGAGTATCTTTTCAAGCAGTTTCTGATTTTAGTGTTTCATCTTGGCTGCACTTTTGAAAACATCCATCCATGTGTGTATCTCTTAGATCCTGCTTCTCTTTATAGCTTCCCATTTCTTGGCTACAGTAACTTAATCCATCTCTTCTCTGAATTTTACGGCCTCCTTCGCCAACCCTTTGCTAGTGTAGAGCACTGTATTTGGTTTTCTCTTTGCAGCACATTCATCCTTTCCCAGGAAAAGACGCAAACATAAACAGACATTCCAGACTGCATTCACAGGCTTCTTAAAGACACCAGTGAGAATAGACCAGTATAAATACTGAGCTTAAAAACTGTCATCAAAGTTCAGCCTTTAAAATTGGCTTATTAAAATATTTGTTTTTTTTAAAGCCCAGATTTAAACTCAAGTTATGAGTTATAGTGCTCTGCACAGAATGAGTTTACTTTATGATCTTTTTTTTGCCAGGCAAAAGGAATCTGGCATGCGAGCCGACTACTCAGGATACAGGCAGGCAGGGTTGATGAGAACGCGATTCTTTCAGGCTCACGACCTGCCTGGAAAACAGGCATTTTCAGAAGACCTCAGTGCGGGACTATATTTCTAATAACTCCAAAAGGCAGACTGTAAGTGCCCACCCTCCACCACACACCCTAACAGACTGGGAGCAGACTTCCTTTATTCGAGGTTGGGAGAGTGAGGACTGATATTCAGGGGCACGATAACCACGGAGTGAAGTCCGCTCCTCACACAGACCTCGGTGATGGCTGTTTTACAGCAAAACATTATCAGAACTTTGGATCAGCTCTGCACTCCACTTCTCACGCACACATCTGTCAAAGCTCCACTGAGATTCTGCATTTCCATTCTTCTCCAAGAAGAGCGAATTTTCCTTTGAGGCATCCCAGCAGTAGCAATCAGCAAGCACTTCCAAGAAGTAAGTGTTCAGGGGCAAGGAAAGGCTAGTGTGTTTGATGGTGACGGGACACGCACTTTGTCCAAAGGAGCCAGAAGTTCTCAGAAAGGAAAGGGTGAGTTTGTCAAGTGCAGCAACACACTGGAGCTTTGCGCATGCTTAGCGAGTTAGATGTTTTCTTCAACTGTGAAGCAAGGAGGACAAACATCTAGCAGGAAGCGGTTGCCTTCCTCAGCCTCAAACGGGGTGGGGGGGCTCTAACCCTGCCCCCTCCTTTCCAGCGTTTTCAATTAGACAAATCCAGCTGACTATGCAGACACCAGACTTCTAGCTAATTAGACGCCAGGCCGAAGAAGACCAGGGGAAGTGTGGGCACAGCCCGTCCCTCCGCCTGCCACACTGTCTTTACATCGAAGGCAGCTTAGTCATTTCTTTTTTCTTGTCATTCATCTGGACGTAGCTTTCTCACACATGTGAAAATATTTCACATTAGACACTAAAAGGACGTAAAGCTTACTGAAATGTCCAGATGTTTTTTGCTGGTACGTATAAGTAATCCTTCTTGGAAATGTTACAAATAAATAAACACCGTTTACTAGTATTTCCAGGAAATCAAATTAATTAGGATTGTATTTATACTCAAACAGACTAATGAGTTAAAAACTAAGAGAGTTCAAAAATGTTTGCCTAGCATGTCTGATTAATAAAACCAAGGTATGTCCAGAGTCAGTAGAAAATCAAACATTTCCATATTTCTTTTTGTGTAGAGGATATTTATTAAAGGAAACTGGTTTTTCTAAACTAGCTGTTATATTCAATTATATAAAAATAAATAAGTCCATATACAGGTCATTTGTTCTCCAGTTACTGATATGTCTGTTATCTAATATTTTAAGGACTACTTAATCAAAAAAAGCTTAGTTTTTTATTAGAGGCACTGCATTTTTATCTTATATAACATTAATTGTGATCTACACTTGATTCTCTTCAGTTTTAAAGGGTGCAATCATTTTAAAATGAATTTTAAGTGTTTCTGCTAAATTTCTTCATCGGAGAAATAACTCCTGGTGTTTGTTTCCAATCATTTTCTGGAGGGCAGTCTTAGCAGTAATTCTGTTGACACTTTTCTTAAACAAAACTCTATGTGTGTGTTTAAAAAAGATGACATTCCTCATCTGCCTGTCCTTACTTCAGACGTGGTGTAAACCACAGATACTTAGAGTGTAACTGGAAGTAACTAATGGAGGCTCATAATTTAGGCAGCAAAAAACAGAATAAATGTGTTGTCCTGCCGCGGCATCTAGTACTCAGCCAATCCAAACTCCTGGAGAAGTACGCGAGGGGGATACTTCCCATCTGTTTTTTTGACAAAGACAAGAGAAGATTCCCACAAGTTATTCTCCACTAAAAAATGCTTTTTTAAAACTATAAAACAATCATTACTTTAGGGTACTATTTGATTAAAAGAATTTTCAATGACCCAGGAACAAAAGATTAGAATAGGAAGAAGAAAGAAACCCCACCTGGGCCAGATCAACCTCCCGGCACACTCACAGGTACTACGGACCCACAGGAAAAATAAACGGGTGCGTTTATGAGGATGGAAGGCAGCCGCTGGGCTTAACCTTTCTGTGGGAAGCAGATCTCTTTCCTTTCTTTCTCTTTCCTTTCTTTCTCTTTCCCTCTTTCTCTCTTTCATCCTTCCTTCCTTCCTTTTTTAAATAAAAAGCATCACAAGGTGTGCGGGTAACCAAAACATTCTCGGTAGGATTTTTACACTCCCCACGCCCAGAAAGGAAGTTTCTGCTTCCCTTGCTGCCCAGCACGCGGTTGGAGAGAGGGCTGCAGGACCGGGCCCGGGCTGCAGCAACCTGTCTACCGTACTTGGAGGCGTCTGGGGAGTGGAGCCGTGCCGGACGCCCGGGGTCCTGTCCCAGGGGAAACAGGACCTTCCAGCCTGGTAGCAGCTGCTCCAGACCCTTCCCCAGATTGCACCCCAGGCACCGGAAGGCGGGACGC